GGTGGAAAAAGCTATCAAGGAAATGAGGAAGGGAAAGGCTACAGGAGATGATGATGTACCTGGAGATGTGCTCAAGTTACTGGGAGAAGGTGGTTTGAAAACACTGACAAAACTAATGAACACCATATATGAAAGTGGAGAGTGGCCCAAGGACTTTACAGAAGTTACAATGATTGCCTTAAAGAAAAAGACAAAAGCTACAAAATGCAGCGACCATCGCACAATAAGTCTTATTGCACATACAGCAAAGATAATAGCAAAGATACTTAAAAGAAGAATTGAAAGGAAAATAGAGGATGTACTTGGAGAAGATCAGTTTGGATTTAGAAGAGGAAAAGGAACCAGGGATGCAATTGGGATGATGAGAATTATAGCGGAACGAACTTTGGAGATAGATGAAGAACTGTGTGTTTGCTTCATAGACTGGCAGAAGGCATTTGACCGGGTAAACTGGACCAAATTAATGCAGATCCTGAAAGAAACAGGTATCGATTGGCATGAAAGAAGATTGATTAGCAAATTGTACATGGATCAGAAAGTTAGAGTACGACTGGACAGGGGGGAGACAGGAAGTGTGCAGATTGGAAGAGGAGTTCGACAAGGATGCTGTTTATCACCAATTCTGTTCAACTTGTACAGCGAATGCCTTACCAAGGAAGCTCTGGATGGGCTCGGTGACTTCAAAGTAGGAGGGCAAATTATTCAAACTGTGAAATATGCAGATGACCTTGTGTTAATGGCTAAGGAAGAAACTGTGCTACAGGGCATGATTGATAGACTAATTGAAATTGGAAGGTGCTATGGCATGGAAATGAATGTGGAGAAAACAAAAGTAATGAAAATTTCGAGACAACCAACCCCAGTCACAATAAAGATAGACCAAAAACAAGTGGAGAATGTGAAATGTTTTAAATATTTTGGTAGCTTGTTAACAGATGATGGAAGGTGTACTTGTGAAATTAAATCCAGGATTGCCATGGCAAAAGCTGCATTTAGCAAGAAGAAGAATCTTTTTACCAGCAAATTGGACTTAAATTTGAGGAAGAAACTAGTGAAATGCTACATTTGGAGCATAGCTCTGTATGGGGCTGAAACATGGACACTTAGGCCAGTAGATCAGAAATATCTGGAAAGTTTCAAAATGTGGTGTTGGAGAAGGATGGAGAAGATCAGTTGGACCGATTATGTGAGAAATGAAGAAGTGTTAATTAGAGTCAGTGAGCAGTGGAATATCCTACACGAAATAAGAAAACGGAAGGCTAATTGGATTGGTCATGTTTTACGCAGAAACTGCCTTCTAAAAGAAGTTATTGAAGGAAAGACAGAGGGGCGGATAGAAGTGGCAAGAAGACGAGGAAGAAGACGTAAGAAGATGCTGGATGACCTTGGGGACAGAAGAGGATACTGTCATTTGAAGGAGAAAGCTCTAGATCGCATTAAATGGAGGAATTGTTTTGGAAGAGACTGTGGACCTGTCTGACAGATTACTGATGATGATGATGAGGTGTGGAACTAAGAGTTCTGCCCCATGCTGCAAAAGTGCCGGTACAATTCCATCTGTTCCCGCTGACTTAAATGGTCTAAAGGTATTCAATGCCCGTCTGATTTTTGAATGGATAATTATGACTTTGGCCAGGTTCCAGTCTCCCCTGTTTGTCCTGCTTTGCCAAGTGCCCAGGGTTTGCTGTCCCTGTCCATCATCCAAATTATCAATCAATTTTGAATCAGGAAAGTGAACCCTGAATAATTCATTCAGTGTCTCTCTTCCTGTTTGAGTATACTGCCCGTTATGCAGCTTAATCGTGCTGACCTTATTGACGCCTGTTTTGCCATGATCCTCATGAGTCTGGCGCCGCCTGGTACATCATTGATCTCCTGGCAGTGCCTCCTCCATGAGAACTGCTTGGCTTTCCTTATTTCTTTCTTGTAACAGGTAAGGGCTTCCTTGTAGGTGTCCCACTGCCCTGTTCTTTTAGCTGTATTAAAAACCTTGTTTTGGTTCTAAGCCCACTCAGCTGTTTAGTCCACCAAGCTGCTCTCCTTGGTTTGTGAGTGGCCCTAGCTGGACAATTCCGATAAGAGGACGAGATAATAGCCTGTTGCAGCATCCTTTATTGTGCATATATTTGACGAGATGGTCTCCAGATTTACCTTTAGGTCGTCTTTGTAACACTCCCAGTTGGTTCTCTTAGGATTCCTATTAAGTAGCTTGAGCTACTGTAATGTTGCTTATTTGAAAGCATATATATATATATCTGTGATCTGATAGTGACGGCTCATCAGATACATGCCAATTACTTATCAGGTTACCTATTTTATTGGTCCCTAGTGTCAAGTCGATAACCTCCTGCCTATTGCAAACCACAAAGTTAGGCTCGTTACCTTGGTTTACAATATTAAGGTTCGAACTCACCAAATATTCCATGAGGCATTCTCCTCTTGGGTTGACGTCAGTGCTCCTCCACAATGTGTGGAGCGCATTGGCATCACACCCAATGATGAGCTGCTTTTTCCTAAGATGACAGTGCTCAAGGATGTCCCTCACTTCTTTGGAAGGTGGTGGTTCATCCAAGTCATATGGAAAGTAGGCTGAAGTGACAGTGAGCTCCTCATGGCCTCCGCCCAATGTGTATGTCATCCTCACCGTTGTTGTGTCTAGAACAAAACTCCAGCAAGGGTAAAGCATTAATATGATTATCAACATATATGCATGCTCTCACATTTTTCCCAGGTATGACAGAATAAACTGTTCCCCCTGATTTCGTTAAGCCTCTTATTTGGCCCCTATCTATCCAAAGTTCCTGAATAAGTGCTATGTCTACATTTCCCTCAGCAAGTAAAAAAAAGTGAAGCTATCCCTGTAACAGCCCTTGAAGGCCCATAGGGTTGTGACGTGTTGAGGGTCTCACATAATATAGACAATTGGCTCATAGATGGCGGTAAGATTGTCAGCCTTATGCGCCGGCAGCGCTTTACTCCCCAGGAAAATTATTTAATTAATTCCTGGTACTCATTTCTGTTAGAGGCTGAGTCGACCCCAGGGCCATAGTGCGGCTGGAAGGATTAGGTCAATTGAAAAAAATTTAATGACTTCATCGGGCCTTGAACCCGTGACCTCCTGGCTTGTAGCATTGTGCCTCAACCAACTACGCTACCATGTACCCCTCAGCAAGTTGTCGACATAAAATTGCCATAGCTGCCTTGCTGTGGTGTAGGTTAATGTGAATGAATCGTATGTTGTGTGTGTGTGTGTGTATGTATGTGTGTTATGTATTTATTCTGTAATGCTGGGAAAGGTGTCCTCCTCCATACCTTCTTCCACAGCCCCTTTTCTTTTATCAGACCTGGTTTCCTCCGGTCCCTGGTCCCTGATCTGGTAAGATCGGGTTGATGAGAGGATGGATTGTCTCCTTCTCATCAGATACCCTCTTCCGGTCAACTAAGAGAGTGGGTACATCATCTTCCTCCCCCACAGAGGCTGATTCCAAGGGTATATAACTGGGCACAGCAACTTCTTTATGCCACTGCGGCTCAGGATCTTGCAGGACCCTAACAGTTCCCTGTGAGAGTCCTGTGTAAACCCTATATCCAGTTCCCTTGATAACAGACAGGGCATCCCAATATATAAGGAGGATCAGTCTCTGCCCTTTCGGTTCAGATTTCCTATCCAGTATTCTCAAACACTTAGTATGGAGTCCTGGATTAAGATTCCTGATCCATTTCAGCAGCTCCACAGGGTTTGGGGCAACTTTGTCCTTCGTCCTGAGAGCCACCTTCACAGGTTTGTGCAAGTTCNATACTCTAGGGAGACAACTCAGATAGCTGAAGCTACCCCTATGGGAGTGCTCTCCTGCATTCATTCCGGGTACACCGTAGTAATACCCAAGGGTCATTATTCTGNAAGTAATCTTCAGCCTAGCCCCTCATTTTAATCTGTGATTATCTATGGTTCTAGCAAGCCACTGTCCAGACTGTTGGTCGGCACATGTATGTATTAATGCAGCTCCCTCCAGTCTGTATGATTTCAGGCATGGTAGTTCTCCCAAAGGAGTCCTACGTAACACCTCCCTCTATTAGCTTGTCTTCAGGGTACGTTACGTTTCCTTGAAGATAGCCGTGGCTTGGCCAACCTCACCGAGGATGGCATCATTACCACCTGTAACATGTGACCTAAGAAAGTGACATTTACCCCGCCAAAAGCAGATGTAGCAGTGTAAGCTTGAATAGAGACTACATATCCAATAACCACTCAACATACCCACCTCTGACTCACCACCAAATATCAACATAAGAGAAGACAGTTATATCATATATACAACATTGCTGAATCAAGATAAGAGCCAAAGAACTGAAATATAGTCATGAACAGTAACAAATCCAACACGACCTTATTTAAACTAAGGATGAGAAAATATCCAAAATATGATATTTCTATAAGCCTAATATTTTCACATTTTAATGATATTAACACTTTTGACATATTGTTAATATTTTAAGAGTTTAATATGTTTAAATACTTGTTATATACATTTTAAACAAGTTTAGGTTCAACATAGAACCAATTAATTTATGCATACAATGGTGAATAGTAAAAAGTGAGAGAAGCATGCTGTATTACCACTTTATATGTAACACATGACAAAAGCACAATATATGGATCCATATGGAAAGCAGAATTCAATAGTGTAAGACTTGTTTGTGTATTTCCTGATGATGGCTTCTTGAGCCGAATCATGTAGTGATGCTTTACAACCAAATGAACTCAGATATGCACAGTGGAATGTGAGTTATTTGGTGTTTGTTTTTGTTATGTTTGACAGGCAAAACAGAAACTCACATATATAGAGAAATTTAGAATACTAGGTTCAAGTGAAATTGGACCTAGCCTTTAAACTATAGTAGGTTCACATGAAACTCACATATCCTATTGCACAAGAATTCATTATTATTATTAATTTATTTTTTATTGTTGTGTATATGTGTGTGTTTTCTTTTTTTAGGAGAAAAGGTTCTTTGTTTTCATGGCCCCCTTATTTATGAAGCGAAATGCCTGGAAGCTGAGATGAAGGATAAGCAAATAAGATACTACATTCATTATGCTGGCTGGAACAAAAGGTACAGTTTTAAAATATACTGGCATCATAACAAATGAGAAAAATGCATGATAGTTCTGGGACAGGAGTCGTATCTCAAACCTAGTGGCAATAAGAACTATTTTGTTTATTCACCTTCAAAACACTGTTCAACAGCCATGTATTTGTGCCAATATTCATACAGTTGTTGGAATTATTTCTGGAAGCCCTAATATGTGACTTCCTGCAATGCAGTCTCCAAAGTCATTTGAACATCCACTGCATCCTTGGGAGTGATGCCTCTTGCAGTGAGTGCGCCATCCATTAGAAAGGTAATTTACATGATACAAGATTAGGAGAGTACGGCAGATGGGGAGCATCAGCATGCCATAGTTGATGAGTTGCAGCTAGACGAGCAGCATGCTAGGGCATTGTCTTGCAGTGAAATTGAATTTAACCACCCAAATTTTAGGATGATACAGCCAAATTGTCTTCTGTAGATGGGAAATCACCTCTCGAACCTGTCTGTGTTAACCTCAGCACCATCAGGAATGATTGGTTCCTCGGGCAGGCAGTCTCCTGCTTCTCACTGTAGAGGCCCAGTTCCAGTTCTAGGGCCAGTGCGTTTTATGTGGGATTTATGGTAAATAGAATGGTACTAAAGCAGGCTCTTCCATGGAAAATTCTGTTTTTTTCCTGCCAGTTGTCATTCCAACCCTTCTCCTCTGATCATTCATCCAGGGTTGGTGGAGTAGACCCATTTGGTATCATAATACTAAGAGTATAAAAGGAACATTAGGTGCCTCGTGTCCTCCTGGTATAAGAAGGCATCTGACATCACACTTTGCATGAAGTAATCCAGCTGGAACCTTATGATTCTTAGTGAAGTTGTCTACTTGTTGTTTATTTGTTGTTTAACATCAGATTTATTCATGTGTGACAGTCTTCTAAAAAAATCAGGATCATTGTTGCATTGATGTAATCACAACTCATCTGCATGCAGTCATTATATTGCTCCTGTCTAAGAATTCTTGGTACAATTTGTTGACAGATGCAGTGCATCTTTACATTGTAACATGTCAACGCACTGTCAGGCAACAGTTCGACAGGCAGACAATTATACAAATGTTTATAGCTTGTTACTAGGTGGCAGTCAGCACACTAATGGACTGACAAGATATCACATGACATATTTTCTGTGGAATCTGTGTCATCAACAACAGAATTGTGTTTCCTCTGTGATCTGTGCTGCTGCTGTTTAACGAAAGCTGTGAGCCTAAGTTCTGAGCGAATTATTACTAGAAGTAAAGTGACAGTGATGGAGTTATGAGGAACAGCTACTATTTACTAGTTGCAAGAGAGAAATAGTAGTGGCGGAAGTACGAGAACAGAGCGAATTGGAAACAGGAGTACAGAAGAATACAGGAGGTCAGCCTGTGAGAATTTAACATGTGATTTGAAGATTTTATGTGTGCTGTAGTTCAGTGATATCTGGAGTGAGACTGTAATAGTGCCTGCATTGTAGTTGTGGTACCAGGAGAGGACCAATGTGTATGTAAATTGGTGATAGAGCTTTTATTTAAATGTGATTAAGAGAGATTGTAACCAAAGTGCCACTAAATCCAATCTCTTGAACTAGAACCCATCATTCTCGTCACATGTACCACTCTACACATGACAATATCCTTACTGAGGATGGTGTATCAGCCACTAACTGAAATTTGAACTCTCCCTGCAGTCTTCTCAAGTGTCTTGACAGTGATCAGAGCCTCCCATTATCATTGTTCCGTAATATTGCAAGCTGTTTGCTCTGCTCATCTTTATGACTTTCCTTGGACATGTGGATTCTTCCCAAACATGGACAGGAATGTGTTTTCGTTTGTCATATGTATCTAGGAAATCTGCAGTGTTTCTATCACAAATTCTTCCAGTTACTGGTAAAATTTGATGTTAACCTGCTGCTTGGAGTGATCATTTTTTTATTTCAAAACATTCCACACTGTGGTCTCTCCTCTGGGATCTGTCATGCTCACTAGTCAAATAGCATTTGAACAGTTCCACTAACTGCATGTGGGAAATGTGCAAGTACTCTTACGTGTGAACAGGCTGCATCTTATCTGCTCCGGTATCGTTGTAGTCACTTGTGTCCGAAACTAGCAGTTATACATATTGAACCTGTATGAAGAAAGGGAAACCTGTGCCTCTTTTAACATTATGTATACTTCTGTTCTGAAATGAAATGTATCTCTTAAACATTATCATATGACTTACAGCTGGGATGAATGGGTACCTGAAAGTCGTGTGTTGAAGTACAATGAGGCAAATGTCCAGAAACAGAAGGAACTGCAGAGAGCTCATAAAGCCAATCCACAGTAAGTTTCATACTTTAAAGTTGCAGTTTTTAGCATTTATCAGCCAATTTGAGGTGTTATACACATAAGGTAAAAAGGTAAAGTTGTCCCTGTGCTTAACTAATCAAGCACTATGCCATGAAGTCATATAGAGGAGTGAATATATAGATCCATATTTTCTTGACCTCGGCACTAGTTGGAGATGAGTGGTCAGCTTCCCACCTTTGCTGCTCGGTCATACACGTGAGGTGGGTAATTACAAAGTAATTGCCATCAGTGAGTTCTAAATATATTTAAATACATTAATATCGAAGGTTGTAAGATTACCTTATAGCCAGAATTGATGTTGTGCCATCTGTTCAAAGTAGAATTCATATTTTGTGACTTGTCTTTATTGTAACATTTGAATGTTCATTATGGGTCAATGGATGAATTTTGGTCTTCTTAAACATTCATAGTGGAGGGTAAGGAGAACATGAACACTGTATTATATAGTCGCATTATTGTAACAATTTTCAGTTTTGACCTTTACCTCAATTGCAACAAGGGGAGAGAATACTATGACAAATGAAAATGTGGTAAATCTTATTCTGTTATTATATTCTGGTGATACTAATTCAGTTTGGTTAGTAAATTGTAGAAAGACTCTTCAGGACCAAAATTCATAAAAATTAGTGTACAGGAAATGTCTGTTAAATTCATGCAGATGAATGAACATAACAGTGACAATAGAGACTATTACATATTTGTAAAACTGCATCTGTGCTTCCAAACAAGAACTTGAAATGGGCATAGATGTTAGTAGACACCATGTACTTAGTTGAGGTTTCTGTGCCATCACACAATACATGTTATTTTCGCTGTTGTGTTATAAATGATTGCATTGAATGTATGAATGAGTCGGTCTGTTTATTATTTAAAATTAAAGACACGTGTTGTGTGATAGTACAGAAACCTTGACTGCATATTCACCACAAGATGCAAAGCATAATCCTTCTACTTAGTTCCACAGCTATTTTTTTTTTTTGTATGGTGAAGCTGTTCACAGTGTCTAATGAGATACTACAACTGTCAAAATTATATGTAGGAGTGAATTTGTGGCTCAGCATTTTAATAGTGTCATAATATGCATTCATTATTCGTTTGGGGTTTTCAGCTGATCTGGAGTAGTATACCTGGTTTTGGACTAGATTATCTGTGTAGTACTGAAAAACCATTTCGAACCCTGTTATGAACATTGTTAGCAGATTGCATTATGGTGTTTGCAGAGTGCATTTTCCTGTGTCTCCTGTCGGCTTATGATACTAAGTTGTTTCATATGGCTGCGCCATAGCTCAAGCGGCTAGTCGCTGGCTCCCCAACGCGGCGGCCCGTGTTCGATCCCAGGTCTGGTCAAGTGGGATTTGTGGTGGACAAAGTGGCGCTGGGGCAGGTTTTCTCTGAGTATTTTGGTTTCCCCTACCAATCTTCATTCCACCAGTTGCTCCACAATCAATTTTGTAAATACACACCGACTGGTAATTTCCAGTAGTTACAAATAAATGACTGGATCAACATGTCACTTAATGTGAACTTGACATAAATATGCAGTTATGTTTTAGTAATCAGTTGAATCATTATGGTATGTACACACTGATCAGGCTCTTGTGTTTACATCTCCTCATGTATGCTTACACCATAAACAAAAACAAACTCCGTGGCTTTAGTCTGCAAGCGAACTATACCGATCGAGCGATCGCCGCTTGTCGGCGAAGTTAGTGCCAACTTTAGCTGATATAGTGTTGCATGGTCAGTGCAACAAATTCCCAAGGTCATTAATTTCGGTTTTCTAGACCGGAGCTGCTACTTTTCCATTCCGATAGCTTCTTAGTTATCATCACAAGGCTGAGTGGACCCCGTTCCAGACCCACTGCTTCCCAGAAAATCTGGTAGCGCCAGGAATCGAACCCGGGACCTCTGGATCTGTAGCCAGAAACTTTGACCACTAGACCACAGAGACGGTCATGCTTACACCACATGTGTTATTAAATGATCATATTCATTTTGTGCTGTTTTCAGTTTATTAAATATTTATTTATTAAATTTATTAAATAAATTAAAATTTAAATTAAAATAAATTAAATTATTATTTATTAAATTATTAAATTTTATGTAAATTTACAAAAACAACGTGGGAATCATAGCAAATAAATGTATAAAGTAGAAAAGGCAAATTTGGTTAGAGGGTCATATTACAGTTTTCACTACATATTCTATGGAGGTAATTTCACAATGAAACCTTTGGGCATAGGAAAATGCTTAAATTCAAATCTAAGATTTGGTGACAAGATAAAACTGTACAATCCCTCCCCAACCAAAAAATAGTCAGTGGCAAAACCACAGTTTTAAGACAGTGGACTAAAATACATACAGTGTTCTGTGTGCTTACTACAGAAGAACATTTCTAATCATGCATATAATTAAAAAATTAGTGCAAACATATGTACATGGTGTATCAACAAGTTCCTGAAATTTGAATTTTGCGCTTGAATGGTTATGAGTAAATCTAAATACTGCTAGGTGTCTTCCCACACACCCTTCTTAAATCAGTGTGGAAAGCAGCGTTGAGTTGAGTGGTTGGATTTATTGTTGGAAAACATATTTCCAGTGTTGTAATTCCGTGAGTTTGTGGTTTTGCGATGGCTGACCTGAGAGAGCAGCGTATATGTATAAAGTTTTGTTTTAAACATGGGAAAACTGCTGCAGAAACACACCAAATGTTGAAGCAAGCTTTTGGTGAAAACAGTTTAGGCCAGACACAAACTTACGACTGTTAAGCGTTTCCAAAATGACCGAATATCGACTGATGATAACGATCGTTCTGGACGGCCGTCAACTTGCACCACACCAGAAAATGCCATGAAAGTTAGGAATCTGATTCTGCAAGATCATAGACTGACCATCCAAGACCTCTGTAACACCTTGGGACTAAGTTATGGTACATGTCAACGAATTTTGTCAGAGGAACTGAACATGAGGAGGATTGCAGCGAAGTTTGTGCCATGACTGCTGCAAAATGAACAGAAGCAGCATCACTTGGAAGTCTGCAGGGAACTTCAACAACAGCTCGAAGAGGATCCAAACTTTATTTCGAAGGTTGTCACTACTGACGAAAGTTGGGTTTATTGCTATGACCCTGAAAGTAAGCAGCAATCGTCACAATGGAAGAGCCCTTCTTCACCTCGGCCAAAAGAAGCTCGACAAGTCAAGAGCAACATTAAGTCCATGTTGATCTGTTTTTTTTTTTTTATATTGACAGGATTGTTCATAAGGAGTTCGTCCCTCCTGGTCAGACAGTCAATAAAGAGTTCTACTGCGATGTTCTAAGGCTTTGAGGGAGGACATGAGGAGGAAACGTCCAGAGTGACACATGAACGAACGACTGGGTACTCCACCATGACAACACACAACTGCATACGGCTTACATTGTGCAGGAAATTTTGGCTAAAAACAACATGGCAGTTGTTCCCCACCCACCGTACTTGCCAGACTTAGCTCCATGTGACTTCTTTCTCTTCCCCAAGATGAAAATCAGGTTGAAGGGGAGAAGATTTGATACAGTTGAGGAAATTCAAGTGGAAACCCAGACAGTACTAAATACCCTAACAAAGAAAGACTTCCAGGATGCATTTGAAAAGTGGCAGAAACGCTGGGATCAGTGTATGTGCTCCCAAGGGGACTACTTTCAGGTGATGGTGCAGAATAAGATCCAGGTAAGACGTAATAGTTTTTATTAATATATTTCAGGAACTTTTGGATAGCACCACGTACATTGCACATACTTTCACATATATGACTGACCTTGACTGTGTTGTCTCCAAAATGAAATTAATTGTTTGCTTGGTAGACCATTGTTGATTATTGAATGCCATAGGACAGTGTACTCCACCCGACCAGCAAAGCAGGTTTCAACATCAGTGTGTTGCGTTTGGGCTCCTAGTCTTCTTACCCTTATTTTCCTGAAGATGTGATGTATGCAGTTTTTCTTTCAGGAAGATGGTCTCCATAAATACTGCAATTTAATAAAAGTTGTTGGTACAATTTTCAAGAAAGTTGTCATTTGGGGGGGGGGCATCTGAAAGCCCCGTATTTTTGGAACCAGAATGTTCATATTCCCAGGGCGCCAACCTATGACAGATGAACTTTAGAGTACCAAATATGAATAAAATCTATTAAAGCGTGAAGTGCCCATCCATCCATACATACACAACAGACAGACAGACAGTATATCAAAAACTGCTTTTTCATATTTATGGAAGCTCCAGATGTATAAATCCATCAAAGTCTCCAGATCGCTTTTTCCTCCTGATAAGTTTCGTCCTGTTTGTATGGCTATAAGTAAGTTTAGAGACATATATTCATCGCACAAAAACAGATATGGTATTAATAATTTACTTTATTAATATGTACCCCACTGGTTGTTTTGGCTGTAAAATACCATAGTTGTAATTTCTGCAGTCCTCTTGTGTTATTGATTAAATACCTGATGATTTTATAAAACTCTATACCTTGAATCTGTGGCAAGATCACGCTGCTCTGCATGTTTAATTTATGAGCCCCTGGGTTTGAGTGTGTACAAGATAAAGTTGTCCCTGTCCTTAATTAAGACATATGGTAAAGCATAGGTATAGCTTCATGCATTGCTAATCTTGACAGTACATTTTGGTCAGAGAAAGAATGAACATGAGCAGTTGAAGGTAAAATTGATCGCTTACTCCTCCACTCCACACACATTGCACACCTCCCTTCCATCAACAGCAGTAATGAACTGAAAGTGCAAAGAGTGAGAGCCTGCAGATAGAATAATATCCAGAATGCGAAGTAGGGGAGGGGAGGCAGCTGTTAGGCAGGCAGGTAGAAGAGAACCTGAGATCATTCTTTCCCAGACCAAGGTGTAGATGGAAGTGGGTAGTCAGTTCCACTCCCCAGCCACTTTTCCCCACAGGAAACCCACCCAGAACCTGTTGAATAGGAAAGCTTGATGGACATCAGAGGGTTCTGTCTGTGGAAGAAAAGAAAGAAATATGGCTGTGCCTGTCCAGCCCATCTCTTTGTTACTACACTGACTGATCTACCCCAGCTATGTTATGAACAGTATCACTATTCAGATATGAGGCCTCTTCAGAAAGTAACTTCTGTTTATTTTAGGCAGGGGGAGCTTGTGCATGCAAGGTGATGTCACGTGACTCATTATATTGTAAACCATCACATACCTGGTCACCTGGTGTTTGTTCTTGTTTATGTGAAGTGAATTGATGTGTCCTGCGATTGATAATCCTGCCAGCTGCAAAATTTGCACTGTTATCTGCTTTCTTCATGCTATAAACATGAGTGCTGCAGAAATCCATCATGAATTATGCACAATTTACAGCCAACATGTAACAAGTTAAACTCTAAGCAAGTAGTGTAGAGTGTTCAAAGATAGGCAAACACATGTTGATGATGAAGAGCAAAGGGGTTGGCCATCTGTACTGAGTGATGATCTTGTTCAAAGTGATGACCAAAAACTGTGTAAGATGGCATTTCACAATTTCAGAACTTTCATGTGAATTTCTACAAATTTCATCCACCGTTCTATATGAGATATCACAGTTAGGCTCCGCTGTCATCACAGGTTTTGCACAAGCTAGGTTCTGAGAATACCCATGGATGCACACAAAACAGAATTGCTTTGGCTTTGACTTTTTAAACTGATACCATAAAGATGGTGGTGAATTTTGTAATCACATTGTATAAGTAACAGGTGATGAAACCTGGGTTTCATTTGTGAATGTTGAAACCACAGAGCAGTCAAAGCAGAGGATGCACACACATTCACCAACAAGCTGAAAAAGTTTAAACAAACCTCTGCCAGAAAGCTGTTGGCACCTGTTTTCCAGGACAGGAAAGGAGTGCTGATGGTGGAATTCATTCAACAAGGGACCACAATAACATCAGAAGTGTATTGTGAAGCACTAAAGAAACTGCAGAGGGCCGTTCAGAGCAAGAGGTGTCGAATGCTGACATCTTGTGTAGTGGTCCTCCATCACACTGTACTACTGCATTTGAGTACAGCTGGTCGCACTTGAGCACTGCTGGAGCATTTCAACTTTGAGTTGTTTGATGGCCCTCCTTACAGCCCTGATCTTGCTGTGAGTGACTACCACCTGTTTACCTACCTGAAACTCTGATTGCAATCACAGTGCTTCAGCAATAATAAGTTGATCTAAGGTGCCTAAACATGACAGAGTTCACAGGCGGTAGGCATCTTTGACACGGGCATACAAGAACTTATTCCCCAAGACAGCAAGTGCCTCATTTCCAACGGTGATTACATTGAGAAGTATCTTATGTATGTACATATTTTTTGTATATAATAAATTTCTTTTTCTCTGTACTTGTTTTGTGAACAGCACACCAGAAGCTACGTTCAGAATAGCCCACATATATACTCACAAGCAAGTGATGATATGTATAATTTCCTAAATAATCTACATTACTCAGTTCTCCAAACATCTGCATAATTCTGATGACTTCCTTTTGCAGAAGGAATAATTTATTGCTGCCGCATGAATTTTCCCAGAAGGTAATTCCATATGCCAAGTTCACTAACTATAAACGTTCCTGATAGCAAGAACTAATAAAGATTTTATTTAGGGATTTATTTTACTTAATTCTGGTAAAATGTAAACTGAGTAGTAAAGCAGTAAGCATTTAACCGGTCAAAGATCTCATATCACACGACAAAATCCATGGAACTGAGTCCTTCATCAGAAGCCAATAGTAGTTCAGCTATGTGAGAATTTCCTGACCTTTTTATAGAACCCAAAGATTCATTACCATGTTCCCAAGGGCCCACCACAGATTCCATCTCTGAGCCAGATGAATCCAGTCCATACCACAGCCTGTTTCTCTAAGATGAATTGTAGTATTATCATCCCATCTATGTGTAGACCTTTCTAGCAGTCTCTTTCTCTCTGGTTTTTCCACCAGAACCCTATATATATTCCCCTTCTCTCCCTCTCATGTCCCATATCACACAAAAGACTGCTAAAATGTTCTTTTCTCTGTGTCTAATAAAGGCTAGGTGAATATTTTAAGTTCCACAGTATTTCAGTTAAATTTGTGGACTATTATTCTGTAAGGTTTCTCTTCTCTTAAAGGAAAAACAAGAAAGCAACTAAAACGCGAAAATCAGAAAGTGGGGGGAAGGACCCTGACAGTCGTGCGTCCACTCCACTGGCAGATAAGTCAACAGCAGTTAAGATTAAAGGTCCTGCCTCAACCCCATCATCATCACAAGATTCCTCATCAGATGTTCCTCGTAAGAAACGTGGTCGGCTGGATCCCACTGTGGAGACTGTAAGCATAATCCATTGCTTGAAAATTGTTTCTGTAATTATTGTGTCATTGCCTCACTTAATTGTAAGCATTCTTACATTTCACATATTCTGTTATCTGAAAGTTCTCATTATATGGCAAGACCTCAGATATTTTATATTTTGCTTTGCATCTAGAATTCTCTACTGAGTATGTGAACAAAATGATTTATAATATGAAAGTTGGACTTTGGTTATGGAATGTCAATTTATTGAGTGAAGAAGAAATATTCTGAAGGGTGTAGTACTTTGTTCAGCAGTTTATGTCACACTCCAATTTAACATAATGTCTGCTGGGAGACTCTGTGTTTTACATAGCCACTTTCTTGGTCATGTGAAATTTGGTATGGAGATAGACCATAAAGGTCTATGCATTAAGTGTGAAATGTTCATAAGTTAACAGATACCAAAATAGTCGACATATGATGTTATACCTGATGAATGTAACATATATAATAAATATTTCACAGAAATAAATCAGACAGCAGCAACAAACAACAACAGTGGAGTAACAGATCCTTTAAATTAGAAATGTGATCAGTAGAAAATTATGAGTTCAGCTCAAAACTAATTGTTTGAGTGTTTTAATCATTTAAGTGAATATGTATTTCATATAGCAAAGGTTAAAGCAACACATGTGAAATACAGAAGGTTCGCAGAAATATGATCTAAGCATTTAGATTCATTAGTGAATTGGGTCTGGGAATACTGTCATGCAGAAAGATGCTTCAAACATTGGGCATTTTTATTGCATAACATTGGAGTCATCCAGTTATTTAAAAAAATGTTAATCTTATTTTATGGGTAAAGACAATCTTATGATATTTTGTCCATATATTTGTATTTATGTGTTCAAGTATTTATGCAGGAGTACACATGCATTTTTTTCCCACTGATAATTTTTGCTACAGTTCATGGTTTTCTTGAAATATGGCAGAAACATCATACCATTCTGGGTAACACTATTCTACTTAAATATTTGTTGATGCTCTTGGATGAGTTTAACAACAGCTTCCTACCCTCTGACTATTTAATCCATCAGCAGCAGAGGGTTAAAATCAATTTAAATAGTTTCCTGTTTCACAAATATATTCTGTGTGGTAAGACTATAATATATGCGTGTGCATGTGTTACATGTACACAGGCATCACAGTGCAGTGTTTTGTCTTCCTCTCCATAAATTTTTCTAAACAGAACGTGATTATGGCTGTAAACTCATAGATGTAAAATGTAAATTATCTACAAAATACATAAAAATAGACACATTAACCCTTCAGATTACTGTTTCTGCCATTTTCATGCAACAAGCCATAAAGTTCTGAACTGGAAATTGACCTAATATGTCTAGCAACTTTATATCTTTATAAGGACTGGATTTTCAGAGAACCTTGTGTTTCTGTTGTCAGGAGGAGCAGTTTCTGACAAAAGTTGAAGTGAAGGTGAAGATTCCTGATGAACTGAAACCGTGGCTTGTTGATGACTGGGATCTGATCTCGAGGCAGAGAAAGGTAAGAAAGTAAAAATATAGATACAGTACAATCTCAATTTCAGGCTACTTGATCTACTTGATCTGTGTGTTTTTCAGGCAGAGTCCCTTGAAAATAATGTACTAGGTGGTTCAAATATGACCGGGACTGATTTTTTTGTAAACATGCCGCACTGCGCAGCAGCTGTGCAACCTTGAGAGAGTGAAGCCACAACCTCCACCCTCCCTCCTGTTAGGGTTAGAACCTGTTCAGTCCTGTCTGGAAGTTGCTAGAGTGATAAGTGAACAGAAGGTACCACAGAGCGTGGAATAACGCATTGTGATCAAATTCCTCATTGGAGAAAACGTCCTGTCCGCTGAAATTCACCACAGACTCCAACAACAGTATGGGGAAGAGTGTCTCTCATGGACCCGTGTGTTTGAGTGGTGTAAGTGCTTCAGAGAGGGCAGAGAGCATGTGGAGAATGAACCGCATGATCATTGGCCGTGAACATCTGTCACCAAGTCAAACATTGATCGCACAGACACACTTATTCGTGAGAATAGGCGCATCACTATTAAGGAACTTGGAGCAATGCTGTCCATCAGTGTTGGTAGTGTAGAAAACATCATGAAATACCACCTGCACTATCGCAAGGTGAATGTACGACGGGTACCACGCACTTTGACGGACGTGAACAAAATGGTGCGCATGCAAGTTGCCAGTCATCTCCTACAGCAGTTTGAAGATGAAGGTGATGCATTTTTGAAGTCTGTAGTGACTACCGATGAAACGTGGGTGCACTACTTCATTCCCGAGTCCCAGCAATCATCACACGAGTGACGGCATACCAGTTCTCCCAAACCCAAGAGAGCGCAGAGGAGCCGTTCGGCAGGAAAAGTGATGGCAACGTTCTTCTGGGAC